GAGTTTTGCCGGCGGCTTCTGCGCCGCCCGGAGCTGGAGGAGCTTTTCGGGCGTTACTCGGGTGAGGACTGCGTCCTGTCGGCCGAGGAGCTGCGGGATTTCCTGCGGGACCAGGGCGAGGACGCCAGTCTGGTCCAGGCCCATGCCATCATCCGCACCTACGAGCTCAACGAGAAGGGTAGGGCTGAGGGCCACCAGCTCGGGTCACGGGTGGTGGGATGGACGGGGGCTGCTGGAGCAGAGGGAGGTGATGGATGGTGTGGGGATGGGGTTCTCCTTGGTGGTGTCACCTCCCAAGCTGGTATGAGGTCCTCCAAAACTTGGGTGAGTGTTGCTGTGTCCCTTCCCTGGGGTGGCACTGGGTGTCAGAAGCTCAACACGTGGCCTTGCTGGTCCCTGGTGGATGTGGCATTGTGGGGGCAGGGGACGTGAAGGTGGAGAGGAACAGCAGGTGGACCTCCATGTCTCCTGGGTGATGCAGCGCCCACCCCAGCATGAGCGTGACACTGCTGGGGGACCTCCATGTCCCTTGGGTCCCACCAGGGCAGGCCCAGGGTGAGCATGGCTCTAGGAGGACAGGGGACATCGTGGTGGGGCTGAAGGACCTCCACACCTCTTGGGTGTCGCAGTAGGATGCAAAAGAGTCATCTGCCTTAGGGTAGAGGTGGCACCAGTGGGATGGGGGATGTGAGGGTGGAGATGGGACACCAAAGGTACCTCCATATCCCCTGGGTGTCACAGTGCCAGGTCTGAGGCGGACACGGTGCTATGAGGGTGGAGGACACCGGGATGGGGACGGGGAACCTCCACATCTCATAGGTATCACCATGCCAGGTCCGGGGTGAATGAGGCACTGGCAGGATGAGTGACATCAGGATGGAGATGGGACCCTCGAGGGAACTTGCATGTCCCCTGGGTGCTGCAGTGCCAGGTGTGGGGTGAATATGGCACTGCTGGGAGAGAGGGGGGACATCCAGGGTGACCCCCCGCGGCTGCGTCCCACAGCCAGGCAGCAGGACCTGATGATGCTGGATGGCTTCATGATGTGCCTCCTCTCGGCCGCCGGCGACATCCTCAACCAGGAGCACACCAAGGTGCACCAGGACATGAGCCAACCCCTGTG